CCTTTTACCTGTCAATCATTGACTCAGAAGGGGTAATACTAAATTACGGAAGTAGGTTACAAAATGCGTTCGTATTGTTTGAAAGCTGCAGTATTTAAAGAAAATGTTCGCTTTGGATGTTAATGCTTTTAAAAACCCGTTTAATTGCAGGTCGTGCTTTTTAAAACTGTGGTTTTGTAAAAGAACTGGAAAAAAGACAACCGTCACGTAATTAGAGAGAGATGCTTCATTTCTGAGGTGAGGAAAAACCTTCCACAAATAAACTGGGATCACTTCAGAAAAAAATGTACGGAAATTCTCTAAATGAAGGGTAAAATATTCCAAACTGAATAAAAAAATACTTTAAAATAAATAGCTGGATGTGCGCTTAGAGTGAATTTAGTGGACTAATTAAAAAAAGGTTTCGGATTCAAACAGAATCCAGAATAAAAATATCGATCTGTCTCCAAGTAACCCAATCGAATATAAACATACTTTAAATCAGAAAAAACAACACGCTAAACGTGTTTGTGTCCTTTCTCCTAATCATCCCATTTTGTATCACAGTGAATGATACAACAATGATAACGTTTAATTTGCATTCTTGCAAAACCTACAGTACGTTTTCCCCGTCTTTCAAAACGAAACGACCCTTTAAAAGTGCATTTGATTGGACAAAATGAAAGTAAAAACCGTTCAAGTTAAATATGATTTTTTATTATATTAAAAAATACACATTAAAAAATAAAAATGTTTCCAAAAATGTTATTTTAAAATTGTAACAAAACTTCCCATAAGAAATTGTACCACTGTACATTTATGGTACCAGTACTATGGTATGGTACCCTGGTATTTTTGACAGTACCATAGTACATGTATCATGGTACTTATACTGTATACCATGGTACTTTTAAGGTGCGGTGTGGTACGTTGAAACCAATTTCATCCTATGATGTTTTGACAGCAGTATGGTACAAGTGTGGTACTTTTAGGGGTACTGTGGTACATAACACTAGTTATTAAAATATAATTGATAGATAAATACTGTAGATACACAGACCTACTGTATTCATCCTGAAGAATTTGCAGAGAAAATAGAAAGTGAACATAAAATGTACAGGCTATTTAAAACATTTTAGGTTTTGTAATGAAACACACAATTCATTAACCGGTTAACTCCAAATGTATTAATACGTGCATCAATACAGAATATGATCATAACAGTACAAATACAACAACAACAACAACAACAACAACAATAATGGTTTCACAGCTGAAGTTAAAGGGAGAAGGGCATTTAAATGGAAACTGGCTCGTGTTCATGTTGCCGGTTCTGCTGGCCCACACCACACTGTGTTTGGTGGTAGGAGGAGTTCGGGGATGTTGTTCCTGGAAAAGATCTGAAGTTAGGGGAGCCAGGAGGGATGAAATTAAATTGAAAGACACCATCTCAGGCAAATCTGAAATAACATTTGAGGGATAATTACAGTAAATAAATGTCACACCAGCCAAGTAAGTCCCAAACAATTGCTGGCATGCTAGGCTACAGAAATATTCATAATAGCTCATTTTTAATCAGCTGATATGACCGTTTATGATGCTATGCCTTTAAATGGGTCACTAGGCTTTTTGGTGATTAAAGTGACATTGTGACATAGCTATGCACCAGGGTCAAAATGACAATAGAGGCTATTGTTGTTTAACATAGTTGTTCTTCCTTGTTTAACTACAGTTGTTCAGGTCACGCATTAACAACCAAATACAAGAAAATGATTGCATCTCAAATAAATAAAAGCTACACCTATAAGGTACTGTAGATGTTGGCCTACCTAATTAAGTGGCCAGAGTGTAGGTTCAAGGTAGGTGTTTCTAATAAAGTGGTCAGTTAAGTTAATGTTAAGTGTTTTTTTGGAACTTGGCATACCTCAGTGGACTCATTGTTAAACACTTAATACGATGTCCTTTTCTGAATTTCTTTGACGTCTCCTCTGTACTTGTCAGCCTGTTCCTTATTTCAATGAGTTCAGCCTTGTCATCTGTAGGATATGACACTCTGTAACTCACTTAACCCTATACAATGAACCTTAGATTACTACTAAGGGGTCGCAGTCTAAAGAGTTAGAAGAAAGATTGAACTTTGTCAACATACCTTAGTACTAAAATCTACTGTATGGATACACTACATTCCTGAATTTTTTTACTTACCTAGTGTTCATTATGTTGCTGGCATATGTAGTTTGCTGATTTGTTAATAATTAGACATTTGTCTCAAACTGCAGCACAGTGAAGAGGACTCGGACAATGTGATTGAAAATGACAACATGCAGGTGTGTATATTTCAGTCCTAAAAAAGAAAAAGCTTTGAACTGAGTTTCACTAACTACATAGCCCAATCACAAAATAAGTCTTGTTTTAGTGGAGAAGATTTTGATGTGACTAACACATTTGTTTAATATTGCAGCTAAGTGGTAAGGAATCTGATGAGACCCCAAATGATGAGGATTATTTTCATAATGATGACTTACAGGTGTGTAAATTACAATCCCAAAGTAACAAAAAAATTTTTTTCTCTAACTACACACCCCAAGTCACAATGCAAGTAACACTATTATTAGAAAAAAATGCTGTCATGATTGATGAATGTGTTGAACATTGCAGCTAATTGGAGAAGAATCTGATGAGACCCCAACTGATGAGGATGATTTTCATAATGACGACATACAGGTGTGTATATTCCAATCCTGAAATAATACAAGATCTTACGTGGGACAATAATATCTCTGTCATCTAAATCTCCATCTTAGTTCAGTTTGTGCTGCCAGCTACCAGTAATGCAGTATACCTTGTTAGGTGTTTTGTGTGGCTCCATCTGGACATTTCTATTATACTTGTCTTTTTAGTTTGGTCTATAGACTGTTCTCTGCATGCAAGGATATAAATGTCCGTCATGTCCCAACAGGAACACCTGTTTGATGCCTCTTTCAATCCGGACAAAAAGATCTACACTGGGTCATATCTGACCAAGGGTACACTCCTAATACTTACAGTATGATGGCATTTATCTTGAGACAAATTGTCAAAAGCAGCTACAAAAGATCTAATTGAGCTGTTAAAGTATATTGTGCCAGGATGTGTTCCAAAAACAAAATGGTTTCTAGACAAGCAGTTTTTCTATTTGAGTGACAAAGCCCAAGTGTCACGATTGTAGGCCCTCCCCCTTAAGGGCGCTCCAGCTCTTTTGCTTCTGAGTTGAACAGCCAGACGCTCACTCTGTTCCTGGCTCTGCGTTGGTTCCTGTACCAGGCGAGTCCGGGACCTGGAGCGCCTGGTCCCGTTCCCCCCTTGTTCCCCCCGACCCTCCACCGGATCCCGCTCTGGTTTTTAATCCCGTTTGTCTTCGTCTCAGATGGACCGCCCGGCTCTGGACATTTGCCTCGTCTTGGATTTCCCTTTGGACTCCATTTAGGTCAGTGTGCCTTGGACTCACCCCCCATGTTTTCATTCCTGACCCCTGCATGTTTTTTTCCCTGTGTTTTCCTCACTCTTCCTGGATTGTGTCGTCTGCATAGGGTCCTGAAAGACACTTCGTTACACCAAGACCACTACGTCATTGGGCACTGCTCATATAACTGTCACTTACTAACACATCTCACACAAAGTGTCAGGGACTGGGGCCTCCTGTGGGCCAATTCAGCATTTGCTTATGAGGATGTAAATGGGAAACTTAAATCTTTTCAGTGGAACCCAAGCTGTAGCATCACAAATTTTTAAGTATTTTTTTGCTCTCCAAAAAGTGCTTAGATTTGGAGAGTCAGTCCTACAAACTGCAAATGAGGATGTTAGGTGTTTTTTCAAAGCTTTGACATGCCATGATATAGTCACAAAGGAAAGTACATTACTGATCACGTGGTCACATTAGGGAGTGGTACAAATAGGGAGCTGACTGCTAGTGAGAGGTTGGCATTACAAATGAGACTCTTATTGGGTACCTGCAGTATCACAATGCTACTGTATATAAGCATTGCATCATTTGCCAGATGCTGCTAACCACACAAGAGTATACACAGTGTTTTAAAAGAAATAATGCAGTCATAGCCACAAAAAAATCATTTGGTTTAGTTCAGTCTCTGGTTGTTTGTCCAAAGGAATGTGAGTGTGAACTTGACATGGAATGTTCTTGTCAAGAACTCGTAATATTCTTTTTACAACTCACAAAAGATAGGAATCAGTTTACCATCTACAATTCAGACCTTAATACAAATGTTGCAAAATTTCTAATGCAAGTAAAGGCCACCAACAAGCTGTGTGCAATCTCATGGAAGGATGTTGATTCAAAATGCATTGTAATCGAATATAGACATCATATGTACTTAATGAAGATGCAAGCGTTTGAAATAGACTAAGTCATGATAACTTCTTATAATTATTATTAAAATAGCACATTTTTATTAAAATCTTATGTACATTTTATGTACAAATGAAATAGTCTGAAATGGAAGTAGGTCTTATTTTTTTAAACAGATTTAAAATATATTTTTTTATTTTAAGAACATAATTGTTATTTATGTTATATATGTAAGTGTATATATATAATGTGAGGGATCTCTGTCACCGTCCGCAGACAGTACATTACACGACACTCATTATCTATCTTAAGTTACACATGATATCGCATACACTTTCCTGTCGGCTAGCTAGCTCATGAGGGTGCACACCCTGGGCTTGGCTAGCAGTTTCCTATATTCATACATGCAATACATTATCACCTCTTATTTCAAAATCAGTTTCTGTTACCTGAAGAGATAAACACAAACTCTGTTTCTCTTTATTTGTACTTATCTGTGTGAGAGAGCGCTTTTTCTCTTTTTGTATGTCTCTGCCGTGTTGCTGTCTGACTTCCGGGTATGGTGGCCTTATGGGTCCAAACCCGATACCCGTTTTCAGCCTGGCTTTATAATGTCAACATGGAGTGGTGCATGCGCACATCTTCCGGTAAAGGAAGTACCATTTTTACAGGAGGTTAAAAATAAGTTAAATGTATTCAGGGTTGGTATTTTTCTTTTGTACATTCTGTTTACACTGTTCTTTAAAAGAAAGAAGGAATTCCCATGTTAGGGAAATTAGTTTATCTGGGGTGAAATGCAGCTCCATAAGTTTGTAACAGTGGTACAGTCCAAGGGGGCAGGTCTATATGGTACCTATTTAGGAGGGGGGGGAGAGATCTAATGGGGCTTAGTCTTGTTATTGCTACAGTGTGGAGCTGATAGGACCTAAGTGTGGTAGAACTCCTGATCTCTTTCTTAGAGAAAGGGTTTTTAGTGTGTGTGTTATAGTTCCATTTTTTTTGGTTTTGCTATATATAATTGTTTGTGGGGAGCATTGTCATAATAAACCATCATCTTTGCACCTAAGTGCAATTGCGGCTGAGCCATCATTCGGTTTTAAAAGGTCTCACTTGGGCACCCCTCCTTCCCTCCCAGTGACATTTGGTGGCAGTAGTGGGATGGCTAGCCGCAAGACAGTGTGTCCCTGGAAAAAACGGGCAGGACTGTGTTTACAAGGAAAGGCACTGCCACAGCTCAAAGCAGATGAGCCTTGGGACACGGTGGGCTCATCAGAGGAAGGAAAATGCTGTGAAGAGCTGGGAGCTAGTCTTAAAGTCACCTCTCAACAAGTAACAGGTGTGAGACATGTGTCCAAGACAGAACCTCAAGGGGAGATGGTGAGCCTGCTCCGAGACTTTCTGTCTAGGCAACAAAAGAGAGAGGAGGGATTGTTTGAAGAATTATGTGGACTTAAAACCTCCCTTCAGGAGATCTTAATTGCACCCAGGATTGTGCCTACATCGCAGGCTCAGGGAACAATACCTGGAAACATGGAGACAGCAGAACGTCCACGGCTTGCTCTTCGTACACCAGTACCACGACAACGCACTACAGTGACATCAGGGACCACCAAGTTCAATACCCATGTCTGCTACACGTGCTTCAGCAGAGGGCATGTTCCGTAAAGAGCCTAAGATGCCCCCCTACCAGCAAGGTGAGGACATTGAAAACTATCTCCTGCGATTTGAGCGCATGGCCAGAACCTGGAAGTGGCCAGAGAAGGAGTGGGCCTGTCGGCTAGGGCCTCTGCTTACAGGCAAGGCCTGGGAGGCTTACAGTGCCATGGATGAGGACCGATCGTGTCCTTGAGCAAGAGGAGCAGAGTCAGGAGCTGGCGGGCAGCTTCCGGGAGTCGAGGTTCCTGCTGCGAACCCAAGTGACTCGAGCACCTGACCCCAGGCAGAGCCCTCGGCTTCCCAAGAGAGGCCCAGGAGAAGAAGGCACTGCCGCCGGGGGGAGAGAGCGGAGGAAGTTGCCTCCCCGGGAAGTTCCTCGTCTCAAAAACCGGCGCTGCAGCGGCACCTGCAGACCGAGATCCAGGGGCTTCGATAGAGACGTCCTCCAGCGTTGCAGGGAGCCCAGCTGTAAGGGGTATTGGCAGGTGTCCCTGGATGAAGCATCTAGACCTTACACTGCATTCCGTACACTATTGGGATTATACCATTTTACTGTGATGCCTTTTGGACTACGAAGGACTGGGGCAGGTGGTTCTTGAGGGTGTTAAATGCTCTTTCACACTATCTTTTTTAAATTATTTATTAAGTGAAAACTTCACAATAAACATCCTTATGATCCTTATCCAGATTGTTTGTGTTTTTGTAGCCTAATTCCTAGCTGTGAGGTACATATGAACCAATGCTCAGGTACCATGTGTCTGCAATATGGCGACAGTGAATCATCATTATCTTTTTAGAGAGGTTCATGACAATTTTTACAGGTCATTCATTTGTATGTGTTTTGTCTGCCACACTCAGTTACAGAACATTAATTTGTCACAGTGGTAAAACACACTATGGTTCAATACGTGTACCACAGTGTACACTTAAATGTACAATGGAAATATTATGGCACATACCATAGTACACTATGGTACAATGAATGTACCATAGTGTCCCCTTAGATGTACCATGGCACACTAGGAGTAAACATCAGTAAAAGTTTTTACAGGTTGAGTGAGGCCAACTGTTTCTTTAATAATAGTATCTTATTAAAGTTTATACTACTTTTAGTTGCATGTTGTCTTATTTTAATAAATTCCTAATTCCTAGAAAATGATTTATCCAGTAAAGCTTTTTCATAACTCTTTCTAAGAATTGAAGTAGCATCCTTAACAAATTGTTCAGCATCCAAGAGATTCTTGTTAAACTTCCAGTAAATTGAGTTTTTAGGTTTCAAAGGACTAGGTGTACAAAAAAACGATAAAAAGATCCCCTTGTGATCAGTCAATACTGCGGGACTCATATTAACACCAACAGTTAAACTTTCTAATTCTTTCATAATCAACCATATATCAATTTTTGTCTTACTTCTGGGTTCAGACATCTCCAAATATCAATTACCCCCAAACCCACACAGAAGATTTCGAATTCCACTAACTCCAAACTACTATTAACCCTTTGGGGCTGTTGTAACAGAAAGAATAAGGTTCTGGATCCCGAGATGAAGTTAAACAAATGAGTTTATTGCATGCAAGGAACAATAAAGTCTTGTTTCCCGCAAGAAACAACAAAACCGAAGTATTGTTCCATGTGTTGGTACAAACTTTTAG